GACCGCCACCTCCCAGGCTCTGTCTCTGTCTCTCTCATCTCTCATCTTCGTGGCTCCGCCACCTCTCATGCTTTTACTTCAGGCAACAACAACCACCAACGAGTCCAGCACTGGCAAATCATCGGCCACCACTTCTCCCTCGCCAGCTTGCCCCTCTGCCATGCTTGTTCAGATATTTTTTCCCTTTTTTTTAATTTTGAGTGCAAAAAAAAACCGAAAAACCAAACCACGATTAACCAGTTACATCGGTTTGGTTTTGGTTCAGATTTTTAAAAAACCAATCAAGTCGGTTTTGTTCAAAAAAAAAACCACCGAACCGTGAGCACCCCCCTACCTACCTATACTCGTGTGAATCGTAAAATCTCAAAACCCGTCCTGCCCCGAAAATTTCAACCACGAAAACAACTCATTGAGATGGGTAGGAGTGGGTGGTAAGCACTGAGTAGGGTAGAAATTGCATTCTTAGCATGAATCAAGTGACACTATAAGTTGTTCATGTTCTTAGAACATACAAAGCAGGAAATAAATAATAAAACTCTTTGTTTTCACTTAGTACAAGAGCAATGTCACTCTCTTTTATGTAATATCCATTTACTTAAAAGGAAGAGATGGTAGAGAGAAAGCAAACACTAGTACAATTCCAATTTATTCAGAGCAAGCTGAATTCCATCACCAACAAAAGGGAAGAGATTATTCAGCTCAATTATAACTGTAGACACAGATACAGCAGTAGGAACCAAATCCAGTGACACTGCAAAGACCACTGCCGTTGTATGCCTGAAAGCAGCACTGGCGGCATGAGGCAAGATCACAACCATAGCTGTTCTGAACAACTTTGGCATCTATTTGCAGAATTGCTTCCTTTAAATTGTTCACATTCTAAGATCATACAAAGCAGAAAGCAAATGACCGAACTTTTTTTGCTTTCATCTAGTGCAACAGAGATGCCACTTTTATTTAATATATGCATTTACTTAGAGGAAGAGATGGTAGAGGGAAAACAAACTACTAGTGCAATTTCTATTTATTTAATTTAGAGCAAGCTGAATTCTATCACCAACAAAAGGGAAGAGATTATTCAACTAATCACAATTCTAGACACAGATACAGCGACTGGAAGAACCAATGGTACGGCAAAAACCATTGGCATGGAACACCTTGAAGCACCACTGGCGGCATTCCTCCATTTCACAACCATAGCTGTTCTGAACATCTTGGTATCTATTTTCAGCATCGGAAATGGGCACCATTGATGCAACTGCAACAACCATCGCATTTATACAATAAGCAAATGAATATAAAAAAAAAAAAAAACAAATGAAAGAAAGGTTGGGGGGGAGGAGGAATTAGACCAAGTCTGTTTCTATTGCATCAGGATTCCCATTTGTATGTATAGCAGAGGAGGCAGCCTTTATAAGTTGAAGAAATATAGAGACACAAAGAATAAATACAAATCTATATATCAATACCAAAAGTGAAAAATGTGTTCTTCCATAGCAAGTTGGTTTTTGATATTGATACAGAAAGATGTGTTCATGTATTATAGAAATTAAATGATCTCAAATGGATGGGTAAACACTAAACAGAGACAAACAAATGAAAATGAGGAAAGTTTAATAAGAAACCTGAAAGAACTAGGAGGACGAAGAACAAAATGCAGGAAGGCTTAGCCATAATCTTTTTATGTCAACTAAGACAAATTTGCAATGTGTGTACTACTGTGTATCTTATGGATACGAAAGTGATATTGAGTTGCAGTGGTATTTGTAGAGTTGTGGGTTTGTAGGTAGGAAATTTTTGAAACACAGAGTCAACAGCGTATGTTGTTTTGAATGGCTCACAAATCAAAGACAATGTCAGTTCAATGGGTGGTAAAGACTTGATGAATGGGCTAGCTATATGCCCATATCTCTTATAGATACTCTAACCCATGCATACACTGAGTATCTAATCCTCAACTTGAACTGGAACAAAGAATTTGATTGGGTCAATTCTCAATGAACAAAAACCAAAAAATTGGCTGGTCATCATATATATAAATAGTCCAGTTTGTGTAAAAGATTTGGTGTTGGAATCCAGTTTTAATTAGCAATTACCACCCACCCCACAAAAGGGAAACCAAATGATATGGATATGGGTAGTCATGTGCTCATGCCAACTTAGGAAACAAGTGGATCGGATAGTAGCAAATGGGTCCAAACTCCAAAGCATCTTATTAAAAAGCTTGGAGCTTAGGTAAACATGGAAGACAGAGCTTAAGTTGAAGAAAAAAAAAAAATCAATTTAGAGATAGTAGAGCCACATGCATATTGCTAAACATGGTTGCTTTAGATACCGTCTTCAAATAATTACTGTGGGTCTTGCATTTAGGGTTATATATTTCTAATCTGATTTTGACCTAATTATATCAAAGGATTGAGTTGAGCCCTACAATCAGTCACTCATCTCGAATTTGCATTTTTAGGATTCAAGCCTAAAATAAGCTCAGATTTCTTACTCTCTTTTCCTACCCACTCTCTACCCGCCGTGAATTGCTTAATTCAGAAGGGGTAGAGAGTGGGTAGGAAAAGTGAATAGGAAATAGGCTGGCAGGTAGTTAAAAAAGTGTTTGACTGTTTGTGATTGTCTCTTATCATCAGGATGGTTGTGTTCAGTTCATACCGACCGAAGGATGGTGACCCATTTCTCTGCTGCATGCCAGTAGCAACGTACACCATGTTACTTTGAAAACTTGAGATAGCATAGAAGAAGGCCATCTATACCATGTTAACAAGGTCCACCAATATAGTTAGGGTTATTGCAAGTCAACATGAATATGAGCTAGTTTTCTGTTTTCTTATAATTAGACAAGTACATATTCCATCTTTATGTAAGGCAGTTTGGTAGCAACATGTATGTATGTGCATCCCTAACAAGAGGGAGTATTTAAAATGAATTCAAGAATTAGTTGATGAAAGCTATACTTTTAAATGAATTCATATTCCTTCCATCATTTTTTACCTTTTAACTTCCAGCTAAGCTAATGTTTAACACTCAAAGCAAATCATTCATCTCTGAATCAGTGCCATCTCTAACATTCTTAGAATCAGTGCCCAAATTGGCCGTCGTGATTTCTGATTTGAAGGGCTGTCTGTCTGCCTCAACCTTTTCGAATAGTTTATCCCAAACAATTCAAATTCAAAGCAGTCGAACCGGCTTAGCGGAATCTTCCCAACATATTAAAAGGGAAGACACACTACACAGTCTCCTACCATTTTTGGTCCGAGAAGAATTGCTTCATTTTTTATTTGTCCATCGGCATTTTCTATTAAGGGCTTTGTGTTTACTAGCAGAAATCTGGCTGTCATCCTCAAATGGGCTCCATCACCAATCCATCAAAATAGAAGAGACCACATATCTTTTGGGGACAGGGCTGGTCAGTGATAAGTTGTTAGAACCCGTGTCTTCAACGGTTCAACCTGTTGGTGACCGGGCCGGTTCAAGTACTGAAATGGGGTTGTTGAGGCCCATGGGCCAGTATGACATAGCCCACATATATAATATATATTTATATACATATATAATAATTATACAAGAATATATTAATATATATATATAATTTTATTTTATATCATATATATAAACAATTGTATACATCAAAATTTACATGAAATAAAATTTTAAGATTTTTTTTAATTTATTTTTTAAGAAAAAAAACTCATTTTGGCCTGCAACCCAACCTGCAGCCCGGCACGCACGGTACAACACAGCCCGCTACAATACAGGCAACCCACATTAGTGGCGCAAGACACAGCCCACCACATTACACCTCTACAAAAGCCCATAGACTTGATCAACGGTCCATGGATTCAGGTGGTTGACGACATCACGTTCACGGGCGCTAGCGGTCCTAACTCTCCCAACCCACTTTCTCTTGATGGACTATGAAACTATATATGCTAGCGATGTGGACCTATCCCAAAAATTAATGGTTTTGCTGATGGACAGTTGAGTTTACTTCCCACCCACCAGCCCCATCATCAGAGAGCATAAACTTTTACCATTAGGAATGGCTGAATTTCTTGATATTGTATTTGTCTGAATGGGTTCTAAACTACAATAAACAATAAACTTTTATCACCAGTTCCATCATCTTTTTCTTTGAAGATAATAGGTTCAGTCTCAAGGTAGAAGATAATAAACAATATCTTCTTTTGAAGGGTAATTTTAACAATTTCAATAGATAATTGACGGACAGGGACCAACTTAATACTTTTTAAAAATTTAAATACTACAGTGACACGTTTCAAAATTCAGATACTAACTTGATACTACCCCAAAATTTAAGGTACTAAATTAGAATTTTCTCTATTTTATAATTCATTTACGATAACAATAGCTCAGGGGAAAAAAACTGATTCAACTTGTGATCCGGATGGTGCAAAGTGCAAAGGCGTCCAATTAATCCGTAATCGTCATCAGTACATTTCATATATATATATATATATATATATATATATATATATATATATATATATATATGCGTATATATGCGTGTGTGCGTTTCTGCATCTCTTGCCTTGTATATGGATGGATCATTAATGCCTTAATGAGACAGTTTTGTTCAATTCAAATGACCAATTTTGGGTGGTGATCAGGTGGCTTTCTGTCCATTTTTTATGGATGGATCGAGTTTGGGAGCCAGAGAGAAACTGATCCACCCACACCTGACACCACACGGCCTTTATTATAAAACACAAGCATGCATGAAGCATCCAACTCACTCATCATCCACCACGTGTAGCACAAGTGAACTACCACGTTGACATCTCAAGAGGTAACAGTTAACAGAGGGGATTTATATCGCTGGTTCTGGCAGGACAGCGCCATGAGCAACAAAGCAAGAGCAACAGTCAGTCACCATTCAATGCACCAAGCAAGAAAGAGAGAGAGAGAGAGAGTAACTGATCACAGATTAACCTGCACGAAGAGATCCGACTGAGAACTTATTTAATCAACTTAAATTCACCCTCTCTCTCTCATATCTCTCTCCCCTACTGTACAGTAAATAACAAACATTTACATCACTTTATGGATAGATTCTCTTTTCCCTCAGACCCAGATATGTAGATTTATCTCCTGGTCTTTACCCGAAAAAGAAAAAGAAAAAGAAAACTCCTTATCAATCAATACAATGGAATAATGGGGTGGTCACTACTTACTACTCCAGGTGAGGTGGGATCTCCCTGGATGTGGCTGTAGTAGTTGTCACATTCACATACAGCCCATCAGTAATTCGGTATTACTATCCTGAGCTTCACCTCAGCACTTCTTTTCTATACTAGCTATTTCAGTGGAGAGTGCCTCAAAATCAGACAACGACCTCTTCTCGCCTTCTGATAATCGAGGTTTCATAATTATCAAAATCATTAACCTACAAAAAAAGAAAATCCACCAGACCAATTACATCGCTTTCTGTTTGTCTTACTAACTTCCCTACCCATTCTCATCATGTAGCTAAGCTAACGTCGATGATAATAATGAACAAATATAAGGGCTTCCGTCATGAGCCGTCTCCTTAACCAAGCTCATTTTTTCTCAGAGAGCTTGGACTCTTTTCTCAGAGATCCATAATACATGGACTGTTCACTGTAGTACTTGACACATCACAATTCCCACCGCACGTAAAGACAGAAAAGCAGGACTACGAGCCTCTTCAGTATCAGATCCCAGAAAAGCTTTGCTGCGTCCCTTTTTCGTCTCTAGTCGCTTACTGTAAGTCACCATCTCTCTCAAGTCTCACCCAAAGTGGGACCTGGCTGTTCAGGACGAGCTGCGTTCTGGTCCAGTCGTGTAATTTTGTTTATGTTTTTCCTGGTGTTATGAATATTTTCTATCTACCAAAAAAAAATCTCTCTCTCACCTAATTATAGAGACCAACCCATCACCATGCAATTGTTTTCTATCTCTTCTAACGTTTCTCACTTGAATCGGATCAATATTAATCTCTTATATGCTGCTACTCTCACCACAATCCACACCACCTCCTCTCTCTCTCTCTCTCCTTGTAAGCCCCAGAACTCCCATTCTGTATCTGATCCTGATATTCTTTAAAAAAGAAGAAAAAAATGTGGGTTTAGATGGATGAACTGTTTATCTTCATCTGCTGCTTCAAAAGAGAAAAGGAAGGAGATATGGTTAGGAGATGAAGGAGAGGCAACGTTGGCAACCCGAAGAAGACGCACTCCTCCGAGCCTACGTTAAGAAATATGGGCCAAAAGAATGGAACCTCGTCTCACAACGTATGGGCAAACCCCACGACCGAGACGCCAAATCTTGCCTCGAGCGCTGGAAGAACTACCTCAAGCCAGGTATCAAGAAAGGATCGTTAACCCTTGAAGAACAGAACCTCGTCATCTCTCTCCAGGCTAAATACGGCAACAAGTGGAAGAAAATCGCCTCCGAGGTCCCCGGCCGCACCGCCAAGCGCCTCGGCAAGTGGTGGGAAGTCTTCAAAGCGAAACAGCTCAAACTGCAACAACAGCAGCAGCATCAGAAAACCCATCAGCAACAACGTCCCCTCCCCTCGGACTATCCTGACCCATCTACAGCATCGTCAATCCCACCACCCACCACCACTCTTCACGGCCAATACGACCATATTCTGGAAACTTTTGCAGAGAAGTACGTTCAGCCCAAGCTGCTTAAGCTCCAACAGCGACAACCACAACCATCGCTTCTACCTCCCTCGTTACTGATGCCTAGTCACCTCTCGCTCCCCGAAGCTCCTCCTCCTATTCTATCACTGTCCACCACTGTTCTACCTGCCTGGATGAACACCCCTAATTTGGTCTCCTCGACTCCATCTTTGTCTTCCTCGTCTTCTACTACCCCTTCACCGTCTGTCAGTCACTTACATTCTCCTCAGGAGCCCACTTGTCTGGACTCGGTTTCGCAAGAGATGGGACTGACCCACCAGCGTTTCTTCACGCTTCATGAAATGGGCGTGCTTGCTCAGTACTGTAAGGAGATAGAAGAAGGGAAGAAGAACTTGTTACAGCGAAAGAAAGAAGCTACTTGGAGGCTGAATCGGTTGGAGCAGCAACTGGAGTCGGAGAAGGCAAGAAAGATGAAGGAGAAGATGGAGGAAGTGGAGGCCAAGATCAGATGTTTAAGAAATGAAGAGATAGCTTACCTTGATAAGATTGAAAATGAATGCGAAGAACAACTTAAAGCCATTCAAATAGAAGAAGAAGCGAAGGAGGCCAAAATGGTAGAAGCATGGTGTAGCAAGCAAGTTAAACTCGCTAAACTTGTAAAACACATGGGCATTCACAGATTCCATCTTACAAAAAACTTGTATTAACTCACCAATGTTCTCTTCCGATTTGTAATAATCATCTTTTTCATCTCTCTTTTTTTTCATGAGTAATATGATATATAGTCTGGTTTTACCTGCTCTATCGTACTCAACTGTGGTAATGAGTATTTAAATCCTAGTTTTAAGAGAGAGAGAGAGGGGGAGAGGAAGAGGGTGGTGGGCCTGGTGGCCTGTATACCCAATAAGGAAGCTGAGAGACACATTGATAGAGAGAGAGAGAGAGGAGGGTGGTGGCCTGTATGCCCAATATGGAAGCTACGAGAGTATCCCTGTTTCAAATAGTGTCTGGCCACCCATCTTTATTTTGCAATTATTAATGAAACCAAATACTACAGATTCTATGCTGTCTATGCCCTTCACGGCTAGAGCCCTAGAGAACAAAAACAAGAAAGAATGATCAAGGGAAACTGGGAAAGTTCCTCGAGTGAGTGGTTAAGAAAATGGTAGAAGATAGTTATTGGGTTAGTACTTGCGGTGTGCGTCATAGGATTGCCTATGAAACGTGTGCAACTGTGCATTATGGATGTATGATATATTGATATGGTGGCCATGGCTTCTACTTCTGTGAGAGTGTGAGGTCATTTGCTTGCCCATTAAATCATCCATTGAATACGCCCATGTCCTTCAGTTCAGACTTCGAGAGTTTCCTTAGCACCCAGGTGTATAAGATCACTCAAATGGGGCGACTGCTCAAATGGAGTGTCATGAGATGATCCATTACAAATCCTGCTGGGCAATGTAGCCCTAGAAGGAAGCCCAACAAGATAAGCTTATTTGGTCCACATTAAGCGAAGGTGCAATAAGTTTGGCGCCAATTTTAAATGCAAGTTAACACACCATAGATAGACTATAGACATTGCTTACCAGAAACCGATTACCAAATCTGCCCTTCACCCATTCACCGACTGCATATATATGAGTATGACCAGGTTTTTCCTTCATCTCCTAGTTCAAACGTGGAAAGACTAATTCAAATGATAGAGAAGATGATTTGAAAGATTGGATTTTAGGATTATCTTAGTATCTTACAACCACAACTATGTTAAACTCTACACCATCAGTCCATCGCTATTCGCCTTTTGAACCAGGTGCAAAACGGAAACAAGGATCAAAATATCGATCGAGCATAAGGCATATCGTGTCTGCAACTGATATAATTATGATAGAAAAATACTTTTGTAAATCAATCTGTATCCATAGTGGTATAATCACTCCCCAAGGTGTTTTCTTGCACCAACATGTCTCTTGCGCTTCCTTTAATCTAATAACTGCACTCACCTGCTGCACCAGGACCTATTTAGTTCCATTAATGGCCTCTGTTCTCACAATGTTATCCATATCCCAAATCTTGGGATACTTTCACAGTTTCCACTATTGAATGAAATTCATTCTAGTCTTTTGCCATTTCTTGGATGATGAAAGATCAGGAAGGCTCGAAGGAATATATTGTCATCACAAATGTGAGAAAGCAGGTACTCTACAAAATATACACATGATATCTTTAACACCAATTACAAGGTGACAGTTTGCACCAGTGAAGTAAATTGGTGCAAGCTCTAAAAGAACAAGGGGAAGACCGAAGAAATGACCTGAAGTAGTAAAAAAATTATTCAAGAACTGATAATTTGACAAAAGAACATGAACCATCAAAAAAATTACTAATAAAGTTGACATATCTGATATCAGAACTTTGTCAATATTTCAGCACCAGTCCTGGTAATCAAAATAGTATGTTCAAACTGTGCAGCAGGACTGCCATCTGCAGTGAGAGTTGTCCAATTATCACTCCATGTTTTATACTCGATGCTTCCAGCTGTAAGAATAGGCTCTGCAGTAAAAGAAGAAAATTAATGTCAAGTCTCAATAAGGTTCCATTTCAACATGGAGCAAGTATTAACACTTCCACAGGTATAAATTTTGCAGAAATTTAGGGGATTGATTTCAGAACATTCCAGTTTTTTTGTAAACTGGGAAAAGCACTAGTGAAAAGACAGAATTAACTGGCAAGTGTAAAAGTCAAAAGACTCGAACCGGGGGAGGGGGCTATTGTCTTTTGAGGCATGAATCTTTTGTATGATTAAATATGTGCCCCCATTAAAAAAATAATAAGAAAAACTTTGGGTGTCCATATTATTTCAAGTAAAATTAAATTCTTACAACTTGATAATATGGTACATTTTAGTGACAGAAACTATAGGTCAAAACATGATTGAGAAATTATCTGTGCTGTTTGTTCCTTATGTTCCTTGTCGGTAGAGAATCATAAATGTCATCCATAAATAACTATAAAACGAATCTAATAAGAGCCATATGCTTTTGTACGACTGATAGCATGAAATAAGCACTAGTGCATCCTGACACATGTGAACTAAGGGTTGGGATGTCATGCCCCCTATGAGCATTTTTAAGTCAATCTAGAGATTTCTCCATTTGATCAATGCCAGAGCAACAACCTACATATCCCCACATTACAACCCAAACTTGAAAAGACCACACCCTATTGAGTGGGAAGGCTTGAGTTTCAAACTGTCTATATTGGACAAACTGAATTTCTCAGATTTTCTAGTCAATCTCTTCCTTTCATTGAGATGTTCCTTTGAGACACCCAATCAGATACTTTCACATGATCACTCATCTTCTTACAAGGGTCAGAATGCAAATTCTTGCATAGGAATCCACTTAGTTTAAGAGGTGGGCACTTGTCTTTCCTCCATTACAAATTGTATAGTATTTCTATATATGCTGCAAAACTCTTTTATTTTTTGATAAATAAGGAGGTGAGCTATACATGCTACAAGTCTGTATACAACCATCATTAACCATGTATTTGGCAGTTACAGGCAGGAGATCATCGGCTTCCATCAGGGCAAGCCCATGCCCACACCATTCCAACCGCCTTTTGCAACCTTGCATTGGGAATATCTCCCCATGAAATAAAGTACAGAAGTACGGAGATATTCTCAATGCGAGGTTATAAAGGCTGCTCGAACAGGCTTTGCCCTGAACGAAGACGAACTCTGCAGGCAGGATATCATGCCATACTTCCTCCTCAAACTCACTAATACATCTAGAGCCAATCTTCAACCCTAATCTCCTATACATGCTACATGATAGGGCTTATGTTCTTATCCATCCTTCAACTTCCCAATTGACTTCTGTAGATATGACATTGGCTTCACTAGATCAAAAACCATTGTTACAACTTTTCAACCATATCTCATCCATTATCCTTTTCCTATAAGGATTTGCTGTCTCCAGTGTTCCTGTCCATGCATTATTTCCACTAATCAGGAGACTAAATCTTTCACATAGTCAAGATTTCTTTTTTTTTAGTCCTGATTATGCACCTATGATAATCTGACCTTCATTTTATCCCAAGTATACATATTGGACAAAGCAGGATATAGGTGTGAGTATGAAAATAGGAATTAATGATACTATTAATGTTAAATATGTAAAAGTCAAATGAGTAATGCAAAAGAAATACAAATGATATAGTACAGATTAATTTTGTGTAAAAGCTACTTAAATTCTCCTTTTTTTTCTCTACAATTTAAACTTAATGCATACTGTAAAACTAGTTACTAGAGCATAGAAGTTTCTGCTCTTTCCAGTTTAGTTTATTAAATAATATCTATAAATCATTATAGAACATGGAAAATGAAGTATATGGAAGCATGCTGCATTGACGCATTTTTGTATTATACTATAATGCTTTCAGGCTATATTAGAATTCTACATTTTTATTGATTACCAGTCAATCATTAATCATGCCATAACAAGGCTGTATACATTCTTTCATGTACACACTTCTGGAAGATGATTCTATCTGGAGAGGATAAATGATCTATTACATCTTAGAAGAAAAAAGTCTGCAGTTATTATAAACATAGAACTGATGTGCTTACCAATGGTAAATGTTTGACCTTCAACCATGCACCCAGGTTTTTCATTTCCTGTCAAATGATCAACTATTATATTATGAAGATAAGGAAACCAAACAATAGAAATAAAAACATTAGAAGAAATAATATTATAATCAACTAAGAGAATTTATCCTACAGACTAGGAAAATCTACAAACCAAAAACCATAGACACTGTAAAACTAAAAAAGAATATGCCAACATATGCTCTTGACTTTATAATCTCTAATCAGCAATTGCTCTTATACAGAAATATAGTAGACTACAGAGCTGCATCATCACCTTATTTATTGACTTACTAAATGAAGAACATGTTGAGTTTTGGGCTGATATCAGTTGTTTTTATTTACATAGCATAGTTAAGGAGTTATCGGGCCCAAGGCCCATTAGCTTATATTTAAGTTAAGAGTGTTTATTTACATTTTTTAAGTAACTGACTTACTAAGGGCATACTTTGTCTTTGTATTCAGTTTTTTATTTGTGAGTATATAAGCTAATGAAAGGAGCGGCCAGACCTAATTTTGGCTTCTCCCATTCTCTTCAATTTCTCTCCTCTTTTCTTCTCTACATAAACCTTCTCTTCTCTTTCTTTTCTTCTTTCTTACACAGGTTTTATATCAAAACAGATCTTCTAAACTTTTCTAATTGGTATCAGAGCCAATTTAGAGAATGTTTGAGTTGTTCCATCATGCAGCCCTAGATCAGCCAACTGCATGATGAGGTAAAGGGCTGATTGAGGACTTCAGGTAAGTCCAGTTTTTGGAATTTTTGGTGGATTTGCAACCCCTTGTAGCTGGTCTAGAATTTAGCACCAAAATCAGGAAGAACTGGAGAAAGGGGAAGAGTCCTGATTTAGTAGGACTCTTCAATCTTGACCTAAGAAGTGGCGCTCTGGTTTTTTAGGGTTTCTTGAGTTTTTCTGAAGAGGGTGGTTCAAGTCCTAGTCTTTTTGGAGGCCTCTGGAGGGAGCGGCAACCTCTTCTCTTTCTTCTCCTGCTTCTACAGAAAAGGGAATCTTTAGAGGGAGGGGCTTCTAGGGTACTAGGAAGGTGTTTGAGGTTTCTAAAATTTTTTATGGGCTAACACAGCTAAGGAGATTTGGGATGGAGTGGAGAAACTTATCCATAGAATATGAATGTTGCTAGAGCCTACCAGTTGAAAAACCAAGTGATTGTTACTAGGCAGGGAGATAAGCCTATTGCCATTTATTTTTCAACCCTCAAAACCTTATGGCAGGAGATAGACCATTTGGAAACTGTGGTTTGAGAAAGTAGCAAAGATTCAACAACTTATCAAAAACTGGTAGAGAAGAATAGGGTTTTTGAGTTTCTAGTAGGACTTAACTCTGAATATGACATTGCACAACAGCATATTCTTTCCCGAGACAGTGTAAGGGCCTATTCGTTTGCTCTAAAGTCTGACATCTGAAAGTGCAATAATTACATTAAGAGGTATATTGGTATTGGTGAACTTTTCTTTCAGCTGAACTCTGAATGCAAAGAATGTTGTTCTGAATTCTGAATTATGAAAATTATCAAATATCCATTTTGACCCCATATATTAGAGTTTTTGTTTATCTTTTTGGGGGTATCATTGGAAAATAAAAAGTTGTATGATTGCACTTTAATAGATAAGAGATAAGAAGAAACAAACAACCATTTTTCTCTTAAAGTTAAAGATTCCTCTTAAGAGATAAGAGTTAAGAGGAAACGAACAGGCCCTAACTCTTTCTTAGGCATATGCCTTTGTGTCTGGAGAGGAGAGTAAGAGGAATGTGATGATGAGGAACCCAAGCCTTAAGCAATCAGCCATGGTTAGCACAGTGAAGCCTAAGTTGAGTGGGGATAAGGGTAAAAATGAACCGAGGAAGGAGGACAAGAGGATCTGATCTATGACTACTGTAAGAAACCTAAACATACTAGAGATACCTGTTGAAAGCTTTACCCACACCTTATATCGAACCGACTCAGAAACAAGAAGGGAAATGTGAATATGGCAGTGACTGGTGATTTATTAGGACCACCTACTATAGCTTCTCTAGAGTTTGTTGCAGCAACTGCAATGAGGGCAGAATTGGAGAGATATGGGTAGTTTCTGAATCAGAGGGGTACAGTCAATTCCAACTAATTATTAGGTGGACAACAAGATGCAGGTGGATCAAGAGATAGCCATTCTACTTTGTTTGCACATACAGGTAGTTCACATGCCACTACAAATTATGTATCCACTACAGGTAAGGGGGGACCTCCTTGGATTATAGACTCAGGAGCCTCAGAACATATAACCAACATTTCCACCATCTTCTCTCCATACCACCTCTTCTCTAGCAGAGATAAGAGTTTCCACAACCGATGGATCACATGTTCTCATTGCTGGGAAAGGGTCTGTTAGTCAAGATAACTGATACCATTACCCTACCTTTTGTCCTTCATGTTCCTAGACTGAACACTAATCTTTTATCTGTTAGTAGCTTAACAAAGAATTTGAACTATTCAGTGATTTTTTTCCTCCTGGTCATTGTGTTTTGCAGGGTCTGGAATCAAAGAGGACAATTGGGAGTGGTCGTGAGGTGAATGGAATTTATCTTCTCGATGCGCTTCCTAGTCATCAGAGACATCATGTCAACGGGAACATTGAGTCAGAGTCAGTGGATCAGATTATGCTTTGGCATAATCGGTTAGGGCATTTGTCTTTTGCTTCTTTGCATTTTTTATTTCCAAAATTTTTTAAGTCTGTCAGTTTGTCCAGCTTGGAGTGTGAAGGTTTCCAACTTAGAAAGCATTGTAGACATTCCTTTAAAGCAAGCAATAAAAGATGTTCTTCTGTTTTTTATATTGCTCATACTGATGTGGGTGGCTATCGGTATTTTCTTCTATTTGTGGATGATTATTCTCGATACTCTTGGATATATTTGATGAGGTACCATCTTCGGTTCAATAGTTCCATCAAATGGTGTTGACGCAGTTTGGGGTACGAGTGGAAGTGTTTAGATCAAATAACGCTAGGGAATACTTTAAAAAAAAATCTGCCATCATACCTATTAGAGAATGAAGTAGTCCATCAGAGTAGTTGTACATACACTCCACAACAGAATGGTGTAGCAGAAAGGAAGAACAGACATATTGTGAAAGTAGCAAGAAACATTACGTTGAGCTCTAAAGTTCTAGTTCGATTATGGGGTGATGCAGTTCTTACAGTAGTTTTCTTAATTAATCGAATGCCTTCTCGTGTTCATGGATATAGCACTATGTTTAGCCTTCTTTTTCCTGAGGGGGAGATATTCCATAGTCCTCTAAGGTTTTTTGGATGTGTATGCTTTGTCCATGTTCTTGGCCTCACCGCTTAAAGCTAAACCCTAAGGTGAAGAAGTGTGTCTTCCTTGGGTATGCAGGAAATCAAAAGGGGTATTGTTGTTATGATCCAGTCTCTAGAAGTCGATATGTTATTATGAATGTTACCTTTTTTGAGTCCACACCTTTTTTCTCGAGGGGTTCTTCTCAGGGGGAGTGTTTTGGGGAAGTGAGCAATCTAAACCACTTCCTATTCCAACTCCTTTGTCCACTCCATTGTCTAACCCACCTACTCCACCCACTTTGCCACCTCCATTGTGTCCTGCCTCTCAGTGTTTTACACGACAACACAAGGAGGTTGATTCCACAACAAAGGAACCCACGTCACTCCCTATCGGCTCATCAGAGATTCTAGTTTCAACTGACACAAACCCAGGTATGCCTCTTATTTCCTCTGATGGTTTAGTTCCTATTGATACTACTACCCCTGCTCCTAACACCATTGCAAATGACCTAGATCTCCCTACTGCACTACGAAAAGGGAAAAAGTGTACTACTCATTGCATCTCACACCATCTTTCCTACAATGGATTATTCCCTTTCTACCGAACCTTCCTTTCCTCCCTCGACTATGTGTCTACACCGAGGAGTGTTAGTAAGGCTCTCTCCAAACGTAAGTGGAAGACAGGTATGCATGAGAAAATGAAAGCATTGATTAAAAATCAGACATGGGAGATTGTGGATTTACCTAATGGCAAAGAGACAATTGGATGTAGATGGGTTTATACAGTGAAGTAGAAGGCTGATGAAAGTATAGAAAGGTACAAGGCGAGGCTGGTTACAAAAGGGTACACTTCTGGCATAGATTACTTGGAGACTTTTGCACCAGTGGCAAAGATGAGCTCAGTCCGGATTCTTCTATCACTAGCAGCTACATACTCTTGGCCACTCTTCTAACTTGATGTAAAGAATGTTTTGTTAACGGGGAGTTGCAAGAGGAGGTGTACATGGATCTTCCAATTGGCTTTTACAATGAAGTGGATAAAGGAAAGGTATGTAGATTAAAGAAGTCTCTGTATGGTTCACTCTTCCAAATTGATGTAAAGAATGTTTTTCTTAATAGAGAGTTGCAAGAGGAGGTGTACATGGATCTTCCAGCTGGCTTTTACAATGATATGGATAAAGGAAAGGTATGTAGATTAAAGAACTCTCTGTATGGTTTAAAGCAATCACCCAGAGCTTGGTTTGACAAGTTTAGAAGTGCATTGGTTGTATTTGGCTATACTCAAACCCAATCTCATACTCTTTTTGTGAAAAGGAGGGGGTCACTGGTGTTAGTTTTGATAGTGTATGTCAATGACATTGTAGTCATAGGAAACGATTTGAATGAGATTTGTTTTCTTGGTAAAGAGGCAGTACGATCCCAGAATAGTGAGAGGAGAAGGAGAAGAGAGAAGAGATTAAAGAAAAAAGAGATTGGAGAGAAAAAAGTCAGCTGGAGGCACCAGCTTTTTAATATTTATACTAGGGCGACCATTCAAAAGATAAAAAGAAGTACAATTACATATGTACCCTTGTGGCACTAAACTGAAATAAAACTAAGTTATTCACACTCCCCCTCAAGTTGGGACATAGATGTCAATCATACCCAACTTGTCACATAAGTCATTGTGCCACGAGTGATGCAAGCCTTTTGTAAATATATCTACAAGTTGCTCCTTAGAACTAACATATGGGGTGCA